CCTACCTTACCGCTGGAAAAATGAACTCCCCAAAGCCTAGGATCCAGAGATCAGGCATATCACACAAAAAGCCTTCTAAATAACTCCAAGCCAGCACCTCTACTGCCTCCCTTCTCAGCAGCAGTATTCCAACTTCTCCCAAGTCTCAGAATCCTCCAGAAGCTTCTCTCTGTGGGGTATCTGGCATTCCTTTGGTTGATGAGCCATTTCTCTCAGATGCCTTTGCTATAGAGGAGATGATTTCCTCATTACAGGTGGACAGTGCCTTGGGTGCCCAACCCAAGATTGGCTCTTTCTGCCTGTGTCTGGGGGCATTTATACATGTGCCCTGGGGGGTGGTGAGCAACACACTTTAATTAGAGTGTTTCCAAAAGCTGCTCTAATTAAAGTGCCCAGAGCACCTTATGTATCTACATTGTTGCGTTTCAAAATGGTGGTGGGGGTGCTTTATCTAAAGCTTTTTGAATGTGGAGCTGAGGCTTTCCGGTGTCTCATAATCACTTTTCCCTGGGGTGGCCCATGTGTGAAACTTCATGGAGGCTGCCCTGTTACAGGCAGCCCCACCATGCGACATGTGCCCCTGGAGGCTGGGGGGCATGGTGACCACCCGCAGGTGGCGGCAGCAGCAGTGTCAGCAGCGGGGGCCTGGCAGGGGGGAGCTCCCGCAGGTGGCCGCAGCGGCGGCGGGGGAGTGGGGGTGTCAAGCAGTGACTGCCCACAGGCGCCCCTGGCGGTTGTGGCAGTGCTTCTTTCAGGCGGTGTATCACCAATCTCAGGGGGTGCACATGCACCCACGTGCACCCCCTATGGGTTGCCAGTGAGCCCCACTATACTAATTAGCCCCAGTACAGTGCATTTTCAGGTCTTACCAGGATGGGTCTTCAGGCCTTCCTGATTTTACTCATCCCTCACTGGGCTCTAGACGATGAAATCTTTTCATACCAGTAGAGATTTCACACCTGTCCTACTTCTGCCCTCAGTGTTCCTTAATGTTTTGAGGTCAAGGATATAAAAAGACGTGGCATCTACTACCACCTATGTTTTTCTACTACTATCCCAAAATCAGATTTTATTGAGCCTTCAAGAAAGGCAGGAAAGGAAGCCAGTAGCATGAATATGCAGAGTCCATTTTGAAAACCTCCAGTTATAACTAAGGGTGCAGACTCATACCACCAGTCATTTCAGAGTATTCTCAATTTACTCTAGAAAAGTGAATGGACATGCAATACAGTCTTTACTGAAGAAAAAATGCTGTTTTCTGGTGTAAAGTTATTTCTGAGGAAGTCAGACGCAAATTTACTGTGGTGTATGTGTCGTGTCTGTTCCCATGGTCAGTTTCACTTTAGGGCAACTATTTGCTCAATACAAACTGGCTTCCCAGCTACTAGTGGCCAGGCACTGGGGAGTAAAATCCAGGATAAATTACTGCAGAGTAAACGTGTCACGTGTCTGCATCACAGTTACCTTACTCTCCTTCAAGTATCATCTACATATCCTACTTATGAGAAAAATTGGCAAGTATTAGCAGAAAGTGAGACTTGGGAGTAAAACTGAACAAGGGCTGGCATGGAAGGATCATGTGGCTCAGGCTGGTAGACAGCAATGCTCAGCATTGACCCTAAATATCAATTTAAACATACTCTAAGAGAGAATATCAAAATACTGTAACTTTTAGTTGAAATAAATATTCCAGAATATACTTAATTGGTGCTGACAGTGGCAAGTGCAGGTTTTCATGCATCTCCTTCACAAATCTTATCTTTCTAAAATTATAGGATGTCTTCTGGAATTAAAAAACACTTCTTGCATCTCTAAAGGGGAAGTTTTTTAAGGTACATTAGAATCCTATAAGGCCATATTGTAAAATGCAGTGACACAGGGTCTGATTAAATCTTGCTATGTTTTTGAGGCAGCAAATCCAGTAACATTGGAACAAATCTGCAGACTCCCTTTGAAAGCTGTAGAAGGTCTGCCTGTAACTTTGCATTTTCCATGCTGAAGCAAGTAACATTGCTTTCGTTCCATCCTGTCTTGTTTGCCTACATTTTTTGCTGCAGAAGTCAGCATTTTTTTCATCTTGACATGAGCTCGAGTGGCAGAAAATGGGGTGAAAGCCCTACCCCAATAGCAGTGAATTCCTTGGCTGGTCTACAGAACTACCATTCCCAAAATACCCTGTACTCCATGACACTGTCCACACCACTGTTTCCTGCTGCTCCTACACACTGCCTAATGTGGGGTGGGTGAGAGAGGTCTGCCCTGGGCACATTCTTGCGTGTTATGCCTCTAATGCTGATTATTAGCAGTCAAACTTGAGAGAACACTTGTTCATAGGGAATTGACCTTTGTCCACAGATGCAAAGATCTCTGGCTGGAATTTTTGGAGGACTGTTTGTGCATTGGAAATGGTGTCTTCTCAATTAAAGTTTGAAATAGTGATATTCTGTGTGTAGGCCTGTATATGTGTGTGTTTTGCACATGTATTAGGGTTGTTGGTTGTAGTCGTGTTGGTCTAAGGACATAGGCAGACAAGGTTCTTTGGGTAGATGTGGTATCTTTTATTAGAACAACTAAATGGTTGGGAAAATTGTTCTTTGCAAACTTTTGGGCAAACTTCAGGCATAAGGAGAATCTGAAGAAGGGTTTTTGTGCCCAAAAGCTTGCAAAAAACAATTTTTACAACTATTTTAGTTGGCCTAATAAAAGATATCACATTTACCCAAAGAACCGTGTCTGCCTTTTGCACATGTATGTGTCTGTATCTTTTTGCATGTGTGCATGTGTC